ATAATACATCAGAGTTTCAATTATTTGAGTGTATATCATAGAATTATTGATTAAATAAGTGATCTAAAATTAATTAAAGATTGGGATCAATGATTAGTGATTAATTAGAGATTAGAATTGATAATTAGTGATTAATTAGAGATCAGAATTGATAATTAATAATTAATTAAAGATTGAGATCAATGATTAGTAATTAATTAGAGATCAGAATTGATGATTAGTAATTAATTTGGGATCAGGATCAATAATTAGTGATTAATTCAAGATAGGAATTGATAATTAGTAATCAATTCGAGATTGGAATCAATAATTAATGATTAATTTATAATCGGAATCAATAATTAGTGATTAATTTGAGATTAGATTGATAATTTGTGATTAATTCAAGATTGGAATTGATGATTAGTGATTAATTTGAGATTGAAATCGATGATTAGTGATTAATTCAAAATTGAAATTGATAATTAGTAATTAATTAGAGATTGGAATCAATAATTGATGATTAATTAAAGATCGAGATTAATGATTAGTGATTAATTAGAAATTGAAATCGATGATTAATAATTAATTCGAAATTGGAATTGATAATTAGTAATTAATTAGAGATTGGGATCAATGATTAGTGATTAATTAGAGATTAGGATCAATGATTAGTGATTATTAGAGATTATAATTGATAATTAGTAATTAATTAAAGATCAGAATCAATAATTAGTAATTAATTAGAGATCAGAATCAATAATTAGGGATTAATTAGAGATTAAAATTGATAATTAGTAATTAATTAATGATTGAAATTGATAATTAGTAATTAATTAGTGATTGAGATTTATAATTAGTAATTAATTAATAATTAGAATTGATAATTAATAATTAATTAGAGATCAGAATCAAGGATTAGTGATTAATTAGTAATTGGAATTAATAATTAGTAATTAATTAGAGATCAGAATCAAGGATTAGTGATTAATTAGTAATTGGAATTAATAATTAGTAATTAATTGGTGATTAATTAGTGATTGAGATCAATAATTAGTGATTAATTAGTAATCAAGATCAATAATTAGTGATTAATTAGTGATTGAAATTGATAATTGATAATTAATTGGTGATCAAGATAATTAGTGATTAATTAGTGATTGAAATAGATAATCAGTAATTAATCAATAATTATAATCAATAATTAATAAAAATTAATAATAAATTAATTAATAATTAATTATTTTAATTGATAATTAGTTAAAAAAAATTTAAACAATTAAATTTAAAGCATAATTAGAATTTTTATATTATTTAAAATTATAATATAAAAAAAATTTTTTTTTTTTTTACTTAAAATATATAAAATATATTTTTTTATTTAAAAATATAAATTTAAAAAATTAAAAATTAAAAATAATTAAAAATAATAAAACTTAAATAATTAAATTTTAAATATGACTCAAGTTTTTTTATTATTTCAAAATTAACTAAAATATATTAAAAACTATTTTTTTTTTAAATAAAAAATTATTTTTTATATACAAATATAAAAATTAAATTCAATTTTATATTTAAAAAAAAATAAAACTTGAATAATTAAATTTGAAGCATAAACCAAGTCTTTATACTTGTCAAAAAAACTGCCAAAGTATTATTTTGTATAACTATAAAACTGGAGTTTGAGTTCTCATGCTTGAGTAATCACAGGGTGTGATATATGCTAAAAAAAGAAATTTTACAGATTTACGATAATTTTCTTTTACCTTAATAATATCATTAATTAACGGCACTCAAAATCCTGTGAAAAGTATTACCAAATGAGGCAGAACTAAATGCAATTGCGATTGCACTAGCTGTTCTTCCAGGGAACACAAAAGTGATAATTCAAACAGACAACCAGATGATTATAACAGCTTTAACGACCATAAAAAATGGAAGCAAAATAGCACGTTTGGTAGAACATATAAAAGACTTGATCTGTCTCAAGAATCTCAAACTTCAGGTGGAAAGGATCAGAAGAAATGGAACATATATACATAGCAAGGTGGACTCAGAAGCCAAGCGCGCAAGGTTAAAGTGGCAAATGATCAAGTTAGACATTGTCTCCAGCAACAAAAATGGACTTGAACTCTGGTACAGAGGATAGGCAACAAAATACAACAGCAGGGAAGCAATCCGAAATCACTTCTGGAATGAACAAATCATGGAATAGTGTTACTTAGAAAGAAATTATGACATCGACCAATACCACGAGGCAATAGACTGGGAAGCATCAGTAGATTTCCTGAAAGCAAAAAAGATTTCGACAGGAAATATAAGCACCGAGAACCACTAACAAAGAACCTTTATACTAAAATCATGGAGCCAGGAACTCCCAACTATGTCGAAGTTCCATGAACGAAGGGCTGACCTATACAAATCTAGACAATGTGTCAGGTGCAAGGCAACAGTGGAAGACCTAACGCACGTGTATATATGCAACGAAAACAACTTCGAATTTTGCCGTCATATGTTAGATATGATTATATGTTTTCTCCATAGTAGGGAAAAATGAAGCAAGCTCTGGGTACAGGAATGGGCCACAAGGGTTAAGACAGAAATGATCAACTTATGGATCCAAATAACAGCCAGAAATCTAGTCCCATATAATATAGCAAAACTAATATGCAACTGGGCGAGAGTTTTTAAGAAGAAAACCAAACCAATCCTCGTAGAATGCTTCAACAAACTCCAGGAAATCGTAAGAGCCATCTGGAAACAGAGATGCGAAGTCATAAACAAGTGGGAAACATTCCAAGGGATAACAAGAGCGGATAAAAAAGTGAAGGGCAGATGGAGCCAAAATATACCAAAGGGCTGTATCTGGCAACAAAAACATATAACCAACTTAGATTGGAAAAAACAAAAAACCCTAAAATTTTTCTTTACTGTAACAAACAAGGAAAAAAGTACCAACTCAGCCTAGGCAAGTTAGTTCTCCGAAAGGGGGGCAACAGGCCACAGAGGTTCACTGGAGATCTGAACCAGAAGATATCTTTTTCTAAAAATCCTAATATACATGTCAGTATAGTTTGTGAAATTTAGTTAACTTTGAAATAAATAGTACAATGTAATATCAAAGTAAAAGTTTAATAAAGTCCAACTGGAGGCTAAACCAGCTAATAAAAAAAAATAATATCATTAATTCTTTTAGACATTGTTTTTATATATTTCTTACAAGTTTTTTCAAATATTTCATTTCAAATCTTTAATAAATTATTCCAGAGAGTTTTTTTGTCATTAATATTAATCTCTAAATCAGTAACTCTCTTTTGATATTATTTCAGATATTTTTTGTTGGATTTAAATCTGAAGATTTTTATAGTCGAGAAATAGTTTTAATTTTGTTATTTTTTAACTATCTTTAAACTATTTTAGCCTTATGTTTAGAATTATTATCATATTGAATTTAATATCTTTAAGAGTTAAATGATAATATTTTAATGAACACATTAATTCTTCTTTTAAAATTTGTTTATAAAGCTTCATATTAAGATTTTTTTCAATTCTAGATAAATATTCTATATCATAATAAGCAAAATATCCCTATATGTTAATACTATCTTTACTAAATTTAGTTATAGAAATTATATGTTGATCCTTTAAAGCTTTTGTGGATTTTATCCAGCAATATTTACATTTTTGCAACTCTAAAAAGTTAAAATTTAATTTCATCAGATCAAATCACTATACTCCAATCTTCTATGGTTCAATTTTTATGTAATTTTGCAAATTTTAATCAGATTTTTTTATATTTTTTACTTAAAAAAGATTTTTTGTACTGAGTATATACTTTAAATCCATTTTTCTTAAGAATTTTTTGAATTGTATTGACATTAATATTTGTTTTTTCATATTTTATTAAGGATCTATATATATCTATAGCAGTTTTACATTTTTCTTTTAGAATTTTTTTAATAACAATATATTCTTTATATGGAGTAAGTTTAGGTGGATGACCAGGAATAGGTTTATTTTCTAATTTGTTTGTTTCAAGATTTTTTTTTTAAGTCTATATATAGTGGAATAATGAATATTGTTACCAATTTTGGCAACTTGCCATAAACTATAACCTTCTTCTAATAAGGCAATAGCCTTTGACCTTTTCTCTATAGATAACTGTCTTGAAAAAATTTGGTTTATACAAGGTTTGAATAAATTTTTGCATTTTTATATTTTTACAAAAAAATGCCAAAAGTCGCCCAACAGTAAATTTTTATTAATTGCATCACAAAAATTTTTTTTTATTATTTTAATCGCTATTCTAATGTATAAACCAAATAGATTAGATTATACACTGTATATACTATAAATTTCATCATGATTTGATCTGATCTGATCAAAATTTTAACACTTAAAGATTGATGATCAGGTGTTGCGTTCTTTTTGGGAGATATAATGATGAATCGATCATTTGTAAAAATCTATAAATTATTGTAGATTTTTCTTTCAATTTTCAATAAAGACAAGCCATTGTGCATGATTGCGATTAGTTAATATACATATATATTATATTTTACTAGAAATATAAATCATATTATTAATAGTGAATTTTATAACCTGAAAATATATTTTATTAGCTTTAATTAGTATATTTATTAATAATAATTCTATTTAAATATTTTTGAGAAATTTATTTTCATATGGTTTTAAAAAAAGTTTGTATGGATATTAATAAGAAAATAATAATTAATTTTGAGTATATCGATATTCAAATAATTTAAGATGAATGCGTCTAATCCCGGCGCGCGCGAATCAAATAGATTCGCTTAAACAAAATTATCATCTATACTTATTTGTAATTATGAAAACTGATTATGTACCTGCAGTTATTGTACGCCTTCTCTTTTTTTACTATTTTGTTCTTCCATTTTGGACAAGCGGCATCCGCTACGTCACACATGCTTTGTACCAGCAACAGACGCATATAAAGATGCACGCATATCCGTTCCGTACATCCTTTTATCTTCCTCGACTAAATGACGGACAACTTAGTGGATGCCGCAGAATTTACGTTCGTCCAGGCATGTGGTCTTATACCAATTGTTGGAACCATCATAGCTGCTATTGCCCAAAGTATCATCGACCGAGCAAGCAAGGCCGAGCACAATAAAAAGGCGTGCGAGTATATTTCACAACGTGTAAAAGAAAATTTACAAGTTATTGCTAAAGCAGGAATCCCACCGAATAGCAGCGTAGAAAAAGCCAAAACAGAATTAGAGAGTGCCTTAAGAAATATAGAACTATATATAATTGAAATAAATAAACCCGGAGAATTTACTCAGAAATTTAAAAAATGGCTTAAGGATATAACAAATGAAAATGATGTAAGATTTCATATGAATTTTTATTTTTTGTTTTGCCAGAAAGTTAAATGATTTAAACTTATTAAGATTGCAGCGGCGAGTGACAATTTGCTTAAAAAGCTTCAGGATGCTACAGATGATTTTTGTAGGATCGTGGCGCTTGATACAAATAAACAAATTCAAGAAGGAATTACTTCCGTCCACGAAGGGTTGGCTGCCTTGCAAATTATGATGACGCAGAAAGGAGGAGATAGCGTGACAGAAAAGGAAATCAATGAATCTCGATTGGGTCCGTATTTTATAATGAATTCAGATGACTACGATGATGAAGATAATTCAAGCAGAAACAAAAATATTAGAAAAAAGGAGTACATCGGGGATGATGTAGCAGTGAAAGAACTAGAAAATTCTGATTTAAAACTAGAGAGAATTGTCAAGCAAGCAAAAATCGTTAAATTACTAAGTGCCTGTGATCATATTGAAAAATTGTAATTATTTCAATGACTTTATTCTCATATTTATATTTATATCACTGAATTGACATGATTATCTACAGCTTTGGTACCTACGAAGAAAAAGTGGGGGGAAAGAATTACCTCTTTGTTGTTACTAAATGGATGGAAAATGGAAATCTCCAAGAATATTTAGCTAACAATAAATCGATTCCATGGAAAACCAAACTTCTTATCGCGTACCAAATTGCTTTGGGTCTT